AAGAAAGAAAGGAAGGACGGAAGGAAGAAAAGAAAGAAAGAAAGAAAGAAAGAAAGAAAGAAAGAAAGAAAGAAAGAAAGAAAGAAAGAAAGAAAGAAGAAGTAGAAGAAAAAGAAAGAAAGAAAGAAAGGAGGGAGAAAGGAAGAAAGAAAGAAAGAAAGGAGTAGAAGAGAAAGAAAGAAAGAAATAAGAAGGAAGGAAGAGAAAGAAAGAAAGAAAGAAGGGAGGGAGGGAGGGAGGGAGAAAGGAAGGAAGGAAGGAAGGAAGGACCACCATTCTTTGGAAGAACAGATTCAACACCAATAAATAAATAAATAAATAAGCAGTAATCTTCCACTTCTTTCCTTTTGGCCACAAGATGGCAACCTGTCATTTCTTCTTTCTTTCTTTCTTTCCTTCCTTCCATTCATTCTTCTTTCTCTTCTGTAAAAACTCAGGACAGCCTCCTCCAAATCCTCCAGTTGTGCCGGACTACAACTCCCATCATCCCTACACACACACACACACAGAGCACAAGGCCTGCAGCCTGCAAATCTCGACCGACCCTCCTTAGAATAGATTTAGAAGGACCCCCAAACCAGGCAAGGTTTTGTTCTCGAAAACTTTCGGCCCGAAACGATTCGTTAGCAAGGCGAGACTGGCTGCGCTCAGCCCCGCCTCCCTCCTCTCCCCTGCCCCGCCCTCGGGGAGGAGGCGTGGCCAGGGGGAACGCCGCGTCCCTTCCTCTTCTGCCCCGCCCGCCAGCAGGAGGCGTGGCCAGAGTGTGACGCCACGCTTCTCTATCTCTCTCTCTCTCTCTCCCCGCCCCGCCTTCCCGGAGGAGGCGTGGCCAGAGGAGACGCCGCGTTCCATCCTCCTCTGCCCCGCCTGCCAGCAGGAGGCGTGGCCAGAGTGACGCCACGCTTCTCTCTCTCTCTCTCTCTCTCTCCCCGCCCCGCCTTCCCGGAGGAGGCGTGGCCAGAGGAGACGCCGCGTTCCATCCTCCTCTGCCCCGCCTGCCAGCAGGAGGCGTGGCCAGAGTGACGCCACGCTTCTCTCTCTCTTTCTCTCTCTCTCCCCGCCCCGCCTTGCGGGAGGAGGCGTGGCCAGAGGAGACGCCGCGTTCCATCCTTCTCTGCTCCGCCCGCCAGCAGGAGGCGTGGCCAGACTGTGACGCCACGCTTCTCTCTCTCGCTCGCTCTCTTCCCCTGCCCCGCCTTCCCGGAGGAGGCGTGGCCAGAGGAGACGCCGCGTTCCATCCTCCTCTGCCCCGCCCGCCAGCAGGAGGCGTGGTCAGAGTGACGCCACGCTTCTCTCTCTCTTTCTCTCTCTCTCCCCGCCCCGCCTTGCGGGAGGAGGCGTGGCCAGAGGACAGGCAGGTTCCGCCATAGAGAGCGGGAGAGACCGGAAGTAGACCCGGATTTCTCTTGCTGGCAGGGAGGTGAGTGGTGGCGGCGTTTGTGGCTCGACTCCGGATTTGGGGCGGTGGGCGGGGGCTGCTGCGCCTCTTTGCCTCCGACCCTTCCCCCAGCCCTGCCGGTTCATGCAGCCCCGTCTCCCCTGAGCTTCCCCCTGCCACCTCTGGGGTTCAGAGAGACTGCCTTGGCACATGGAGGCTCTACTTCGGTTCCCATCTGCAGGGCAGGTCAAAAGCCTTTTGAGATTTTATGATTCCTTACTGTGGTTGTCCATATCCGGGAGGAAAAGCTAGGCCTGGATACCCTAAAGCTGCGTTTCCCAACCTTAGGAACTTTAAGATGCATGGACTTCAACTCCCAGAATTCCAGCTGGCTGGGGAATTCTGGGAGTTGAAGTCCACGCATCTTAAAAGTTCCTAAGGTTGGGAAACACTGCCCTAAAGGAATATTCTGGGATCAGCCTCCAAGGCTGTATCCCCCTTTCCAGCTAGGAAGCCAGAAGTAATTTATTTTCTTTGGCGCCCCTGATTGGAAAACGTGTTACAGATCATCCTCTACTTACGACAGTTCTTCTAGTGANGGAAGGAAGAAAAGAAAGAAAGAAAGAAAGAAAGAAAGAAAGAAAGAAAGAAAGAAAGAAAGAAAGAAAGAAAGAAAGAAAGAAAGAAAGAAAGAAAGAAAGAAAGAAAGGAGAAGTAGAAGAAAAAGAAAGAAAGAAAGAAAGAAGGGAGGGAGAAAGGAAGAAAGAAAGAAAGAAAGGAGTAGAAGAGAAAGAAAGAAAGAAATAAGAAGGAAGGAAGAAAAAGAAAGAAAGAAAGAAGGGAGGGAGGGAGGGAGAAAGGAAGGAAGGAAGGAAGGAAGGACCACCATTCTTTGGAAGAACAGATTCAACACCAATAAATAAATAAATAAATAAGCCGTAATCTTCCACTTCTTTCCTTTTGGCCACAAGATGGCAACCTGTCATTTCTTCTTTCTTTCCTTCCTTCCTTCCATTCATTCTTCTTTCTCTTCTGTAAAAACTCAGGACAGCCTCCTCCAAATCCTCCAGTTGTGCCGGACTACAACACCCATCATCCCTACACACACACACACACAGAGCACAAGGCCTGCAGCCTGCAAATCTCGACCGACCCTCCTTAGAATAGATTTAGAAGGACCCCCAAACCAGGCAAGGTTTTGTTCTCGAAAACTTTCGGCCCGAAACGATTCGTTAGCAAGGAGAGACTGGCTGCGCTCAGCCCCGCCTCCCTCCTCTCCCCTGCCCCGCCCTCGGGGAGGAGGCGTGGCCAGGGGGAACGCCGCGTCCCTTCCTCTTCTGTCCCGCCCGCCAGCAGGAGGCGTGGCCAGAGTGTGACGCCACGCTTCTCTATCTCTCTCTCTCTCTCTCTCTCTCGCTCTCTTCCCCTGCCCCGCCTTCCCGGAGGAGGCGTGGCCAGAGGAGACGCCGCGTTCTATCCTCCTCTGCCCCGCCCGCCAGCAGGAGGCGTGGCCAGAGTGACGCCACGCTTCTCTCTCTCTCTCTCTCTTCCCCTGCCCCGCCTTCCCGGAAGAGGCGTGGCCAGAGGAGACGTCGCGTCCCTTCCTCCTCTGCCCCTCCCGCCAGCAGGAGGCGTGGCCAGAGTGTGACGCCACGCTTTTCTCTCTCTCTCTCTCTCTCTCTCTCTCTCTCTCTCTCTTCCCCTGCCCCGCCTTCCCGGAGGAGGCGTGGCCAGAGGACACGCCGCGTTCCATCCTCCTCTGCTCCGCCCTCCAGCAGGAGGCGTGGCCAGAGTGTGACGCCACGCTTCTCTCTCTCTCTCTTTCTCTCTCTCCCCGCCCCGCCTTGCGGGAGGAGGCGTGGCCAGAGGACAGGCAGGTTCCGCCATAGAGAGCGGGAGAGAGCGGAAGTAGACCCGGATTTCTCTTGCTGGCAGGGAGGTGAGTGGTGGCGGTGTTTGTGGCTCGACTCCGGATTTGGGGCGGTGGGAGGGGGCTGCTGCGCCTCTTTGCCTCCGACCCTTCCCCCAGCCCTGCCGGTTCATGCAGCCCCGTCTCCCCTGAGCTTCCCCCTGCCACCTCTGGGGTTCAGAGAGACTGCCTTGGCACATGGAGGCTCTACTTCGGTTCCCATCTGCAGGGCAGGTCAAAAGCCTTTTGAGATTTTATGATTCCTTACTGTGGTTGTCTATATCCGGGAGGAAAAGCTAGGCCTGGATACCCTAAAGCTGCGTTTCCCAACCTTAGGAACTTTAAGATGCGTGGACTTCAACTCCCAGAATTCCAGCTGGCTGGGGGATTCTGGGAGTTGAAGTCCACGCATCTTAAAAGTTCCTAAGGTTGGGAAACACTGCCCTAAAGGAATATTCTGGGATCAGCCTCCAAGGCTGTATCCCCCTTTCCAGCTAGGAAGCCAGAAGTAATTTATTTTCTTTGGCGCCCCTGATTGGAAAACGTGTTACAGATCATCCTCTACTTACGACAGTTCTTCTAGTGACCGTTCAGAGTTACAACGGCATTAAAAATGTGACTTAACGACCATTTCTCACCCTTTGTAGCATCCCCACGATCACGTGATCAAATCTAAAGATGCTTGGCAACCGATTCATACTTACGACCGTTGCAGTGTCCCGGGGTTCTTGGGATCAACCTTCAGACAGGCAACGTCACTGGGGAAGCCAGATTCACTGAACAACCGAGTTACTAAGTTAATCAACTGCAGTAAATCGCTTAACAGGTCGTAAAAGGGGGCAAAATTCACTTAACAGAAATTTGGGACTCAGTTGTGATTGAGGACTACCTGTACTCCCAAATTAGGGAGGCGATGGGAGTGCAGATTCCAAAAATAATTCAAATTTTCCAGTTTTCAAAATTTTCCAGGCCTTTAATCAGAGACTGATTTTACATTATGATTATTATTATTAAGAATGCAAAAAAGGAACCCAACCTACCACCTACTGCAGGGGTCTTCAAGTTTGGCCCTTTTATGACTTGTGGACTTCAACTCCCAGAATTCCTCAGCCAGCGTGCCTGGCTGAGGAATTCTGGGAGTTGAAGTCCACAAGTCATAAAAGGGCCAAGCTTGAAGACCCCTGACCTATTGCAATGTTTCTCAACCTTAGCAACTCTAAGATGTGCCAACTTCAACATTGCTGGCTAGGGAATTCTGGGAGTTGAAGTTCACACTTTTTGAAGTTGCCAATATTGACTGTGGCTTACTAGCTGATAGCAGTCTAAATTCCCTTTTGCCTTATCGGTGGCAGATATACTTTCTGAGACAAGCCTGGTTTTCAGGACTTTGATAAAATAAGCCACTCTAAAACCATAATTTTACAAAAGGGCTGCTTGTTTATAAGTTAGCCAACTACCGTTTGCTGTTTTTAGACTATATAACAACTTTGGCTTACTGGAAACAGAAATGATTTCATATTTCTTGTGGATGTATTAGAGAGAGTGGCTAAAAGTATGTTTGAAGAGTTGTGGTCTCCCAAGCTCCTTTTAAAATTATTTTTCTCCACCAGACTTCTGTATTGAAAATGTCTCCTGTTTACATCCATCGTACTTACTCCTGGACCCCCCATTCTACTTTCTTTATTTATTTATTTATTTATTATTTAAATTTATATACCGCCCTATCTCCCTTACGGGACTCAGGGCGGTGAACAGGCAATAATAAAAATCACAATAAATATTGAATAAAAAGCCTGCTCTAAAATACCCCATATAAAACTCTTGCCAGCAATGGGGTGGGTGTGGTTTCACTAGGATCCATCTGGCCTGTGGGCCAGCAGTTTAACACCCGATATACATGTTTGTTTTGGGCTGAGCTTGTTTTGTGAATACTGTACAGTCATAGTGTGTTTTACACACCCAGCGCATTTCAGATTATTCAAGGAAATGTTTAGTTTGTTCAGTTTTGCCTTAAGAGCGATGCAAATCCTTCACTGCCATAAACCGTAATCTGTTAACTAGTAAATCCGCCGTGGCTGTATTTGCACAGTCCAGCTTACCCTTAAACCATGATTTATAAATGAATTCAGTGGGTTTGCAAAATGTTCGGCCGGGATTTACAAAACTGTAGCTTAGCACGCTGTGTGAACTCACACCACTACTTGTGGTGTGCAGAAACTATACGGGTAGCCCTCACCTTACAAGTTTGTTTAGTGATTGTTTGAAGTTACAGCGGCACTGGAAAAAGTGGCTTACAGCTGTTCTTCCCACTTAACGACCGTGGCAGCATCTGCCACGGTCGCGTGGTCGAAATTCAGTCGCTTGGCAACTGACTCGTATTTATGACGGTCGCAGTGTCCCCAGGGTCACGTGATCGCCATTTGCGATCCGACAAGCCAAAGTCAATGGGAAATCCAGATTCACTTTACGGCGGTGTTAGTAACTTTACTGCAGTGATTCACTTAACCGTGGCAAGCAAAGTCATAAAATGGGAGTGGCGAAATGAACTGTCTCGCTTGACCACAAAAATGTTGAGTTCAATCGTTTATGCACTCAGGTGAGCAATTGGTTGAAATCTTCATTTAACAACCTGCTATTTTTCCTGCTCCATAAAATGTCCAGGAATCATGATTTCCGAAAGCGGCTCCTTCATCAAGGGCATGGTTCTCGGAGGGATTTGTTGCGCCTTGGTGACCCTTCTGGGACATATTAAAACGGGTCACACCACGAAATCTCATGAGCACCGACACCTCCAAGCGCCCAGGAAAGAGGACATCCTCAGTCTCTCGGAAGAGAAGCGCCTGGAACTGACCCAGAGCCTCCGCGTCTACTGCATCATCCTGGTCAAACCCAAGGACCTGGGACACTGGGCCGCGGTGAAAGAAACCTGGAGCAAACACTGCGACGGGGCCGAGTTCTACAGCTCCGAGAACGTCAAAGTCTTCGACTCCATCGTGCTGAACACCGATGACACGTGGACGATGATGCGCAAGGCCTACGCCTACGCCTACGAGAATTACCGAGACGGCTACAACTGGTTTTTCCTCGCCTACCCCAGCACCTTTGCCGTTATCGAAAACCTCAAGTACTTCTTGTTGAAGCAGGACGCCGCCCAGCCGTTCTACACAGGCCAGACCCAATCCTCGGGGGATCTACAGTACGTGAACGGGGCGGGCGGGATCGTCTTGAGCGTGGAGTCCTTGCGGCGGCTCTACAGGATTTTTCAGGATCCGGATAAGTGCCCTGAGCACGGGGGCGTGATTTGGAAGCTTTCCGAAGATAAACAGTTAGCCTTGTGCTTAAAGTACGGCGGGGTGCAGGCCGAGAACGCGGAAGACTCTGAGAAGAAGGACATCTTCAACACCAAGTCGGTGGGCACTCTTATCAAGGAGGCCATGGCTAACCACCCCCAGGAAGTGGTGGAAGGCTGCTGTTCGGATATGGCCATCACGTTCAGTGGCCTGTCGCCGAACCACATGCACGTCATGATGTACGGTGTCTACAGGCTCAGAGCATACGGCCACACTTTCAGCGATGCCTTAGCCTTCCTCCCTCCCCCAGACTCCGATAATGACTGAAAGAGGGCAGCATGAAAGCGGAAACCCACCACACACATGTACTGTCCCTCGGCAAGCAGCATGTATTCAGGACAGTTCCAAATTTGCATTTTACTAGTTTCTGTGTTAGTTCTCTCTCTCTCTCTCTCTTTTTTGGCACAATCTGGTTTTGTAATCTTTGCAAAGGGGGAGGGAGGGGGGGTCCCCTTTTTAAAACCGACAAGCCCTTTTATACACCTGTGAATGTCACCTGGAGGATGGAGGGGGGGGGGGAAACCACTTCGAAGATTTCTTTTGTTGACAACTGCATAGCGGGTTATGTACATATTTAAAAATCAAGATCAATCTACTATAAATTAAATCTATTTTTCCAATTGGGGGGCGTCCTGAGTCTTCTTTAGCACAGCGCTGCACACCGCTTGCCCCCCCCCAGAGAAAGGGAAGGGGCAGCTTTTTATCCTAAATCTTGGCTTCCCTTCTCGGCTTCCAATCGCGAAAGCCGCCTCGCCTTTTGCTTTCTTCTAAAAATCATCCGAAACGTATTTATTTGAAGAAAGCCAACAGGACTTCAGCATTCACTTGGATTTATTTAGCATAGCCACAGAACAAAATAAATTTGTACATTCAGGTACACATTTAAAAACAGAATTACAGAGTAGTCCACGCTGGCAAGAAGCATACCGCATACTTCCCGCTGATTTCACTTGTAGGTCTTCATATGCCAGAGGCCGTCATTTAAATAGTGAATATTTTCAATGCCGATCCCTTTGTTGACTTTCTCTCTGGAGAGGTGGAGAAGACAAGGAAAGAACAGTTTTTCCCCGCTCTGGATAAAAAGGTTCTTAAAATGTAAATGGGCAGAAGCTACCTCCCAAATCGGATGTATTTATAAGCAAGCAGCTGAAAACCTATTGATCTTGAAGTTAGAAAAATCCTAGACTTAGGTTCAGCCTTTTAAAAAATATATGTGCAAGTAGAAAAAGAGAAAAGGTTTAATAATGGCCTCTAGCCATGCCTTATCTTGGGGGTCTTCAAACTTGGCCCTTTTATGACTTGTGGACTTCAACCCCCAGAATTCCTCAGCCAGCGAGGAATTCTTGGAGTTGAAGTCCACAAATCATAAAAGGGCCAAGTTTGAAGACCCCTGCCTTATCTCTTGCGTTTTATTAAGAGTTCACAAAGGCAGGAGAAAGGATCAACAAGCATCAAGTCTACACACCTCTCAAGGTCACTGGGCCCCAAGTTCAAGAAATTATCGGGGGGATTAAATATGTTCTTAAGAAGGAAGTTGGAATAAAAATACATCTACTAGGGCCGGTCCTTATAACAATAACTTTTTTTTTCTGGACTGCAGGCCAACCTGGACTTATAGACCCTTACTTGTTACCCCATTTGAACTGTTTGGAAAACACGCCGTCTGCAAAAAGGGGCAGACTCGGTTTAAAAGAAGTCTTGCAGTATTGACTGCTAATTATTGGATCTTCTAGGTCCTAGGAGAACAAAGTTGGAGAAGAATAGGATTTTCTTTTCAAAAGTAAGACTCACATATCATCTGCTGCCATCTTCATGACTCCGACACATAGTGCATGCTGTTTTCCTTCTGCCATTATTGCCTGTAACGGTCTGCTAAGGATAATATCTTGTAGGTAGTAATTTAAAATCATGACAACAGCGGTAAGTAAGCTTCAAACGGGAAGAAACAGCCTTAAAAATTAAAGTATAGCAGGCTAAAGAAATCACATTTTATTCATTTGGGTATTTTCATTAAACAAAAAAACTCCAAACGTGCCATATTAGTGCTTAACACATAAGATATGTTTTGAGTTTTTTTGCTTAATAAAATATCTGAATGAGAGTCCGTGAATTAAGAGACTTCTCACATATGTAACACGTGTTTATTGGCCTTTAGGATAGCTGATCAGCGAGAGCTGTAACTGCTCCCCCCCATAACTACTTAGTTTGGGCATCACAGTATTAATCCACCGTTGTCAACTAATGAGCAATTACCTATTCTGAAAAAGCGATCACCAAATTGAACAATACACTCTTTAACTATTCAGCGAAGCTAAGGAATTGTTGAAAGACAAAGCAGACTGCTGCAAAAAAGGTCACAAACCCTTGTGACCAGTATGCCTATGTTATGATAAACCAATTTATATTCATAATTCTCAGTGAATTCAGAGAGATCCAGCAACCACAAAGTCGAAGTTTCCAAATGTCTCCTTGAAGTCAAAGCCCTTCAGATTATTTTAAACACAACTGCACATTTTAGCAATAGTTAAGAAGACTCTGCTAAGTTTTTTGATTCCTTATTTCCAGGTTGATAATTAATGATCCCAGCTACTTTTAAGTTCTATTGTGTTCTGAGAAAGCAATTGCAACCCACAGACGATGCCTGTCCAAGGATACCACAATTGTATCAGCAGCAGCAGGATAAAGCTTTGCTCCTGGAGATGTGAGGCCAGGACACATTATATTTGCTCCACTAAGTACAAATTTAATGGCTCCTTTATCAACTTGTTGATGTGGTAGAATGAATGGATCTGCGGAGTGGAAAAAGGTTAACTAGAGGAGATAAAACAGCAACCAGAACATCTAAAACATTGTTTCTTTAGCTGACGCAAGCAGGAAGCTCCTTCCCAGAGATATGAAGTGGAAAAAGAAAAAATAAATCCCTCATACACTTCTCTAATCTTTCTCACCGGCTTTCAAAACACGACGTTACAAAGCTTCCTTCCGAATGATGCTGTTAGGGAGATACTTAATCCACTTTAAAAAATAACCAGCACATCCTGAAGTAATCCAAATCTAGCTATAAGCTTTTCAGTTTGATTCTTTTTCCCCCCCCAAAGAGTTTGGGGAATAACTGGATTAATAAATCCAGCTGCCCAAAGGCAGGCCTTGCCCTCCCCTTCTCAATCCATCCACTCAAAAAGAACAGCCCGTTTTGAAACGAAGGAGAATAATTCCAGGAAAAGAATTCCTAGCTGAATGTTACCCCGGAGAAATTCATACTAAAAGGCCTCCCTCTTAAGCCTGTCAGACAGAACATCATAAACAATGGTTTAAAATTTGGAATGGAATTAAGAGAGATTCAGAATGCCTTGGTCTTAAACTGTAGGGGAGGGGGAGAGAATTATACTTTTTTTTTGCTCAGTTTAAAATCTTTCCATTTTGCTCCAATGGTAGTTGCCGATTTTGAATGTCTTAATTTTATTACAGTGGCGCAGAAAGACAGATAATTTACCGGTCCTGTGTGTGTACCAAACGCAAGGAATGAGCTTATTTAACAACAGAATAAAAGAGCCAAAGAAAAGGAAACAGGAATAGACCAGCAGCACACACACACACACACACAAAAAGTCTCCAAGTGAATCCTGCTCTTCTAAATCAGAAAGTTTTCACATGCATACACACGTACGCCACTGCATTTGAGAGGAAAAAAACTGGAAAAGGGGTTAATAAAATTCGGAGGGAGGGAAACAAAAGATAAAGCACGCAAATTCAGAATGGAATGAACCGAAAATAAGGAAGGAAAGGTCATAGGCAGAAGAGCATAAAAAAAAAATCAGGCAATTCAGGTTGAAATAGGAAAAAATGTCAAGATTGCACAATGGAAAGAGGTAAACTGCAGAGAGAGAACGAAAGAAAAGCCTGCAAAGAACGTGCAAACATATTGTGCACTTTCTGTACTACACAGGCTGTCCAGTTCTGCTTTCCGACTTAAAACACCTGCGAATTTCTTTTCAGCATACCAATTTAAAAGTCTCAAAGTTGTCAATCCTTTGATTTCTCTCGAACCCATGACCATCTTTCCTCCAAAATACTTACATTTGTGTAGTAACCTCAGTGTGGGATAAAAGGGTCCATCCCTTTGTCTGAAGAACAGCAGTTCGCCATTTACTGTGAGAATTTCTATATGTTCATGACTGAAACGTACAAAATTAACACGGGTGACTTTTTTTTAAATAAAGAGAAGCCTTTCAAATACCATTTAGAATATTCATGAAAGAGAAAAGTTTACGTTTTTCAAATTGCGTGCTGAATAATCTGTAAAGCCGCCCAGAGTCACCTTACAGAGGAAAACGGCAGAATAAAAATGTAATGAATAAAATAAGGAACAAAATAACTTTTGCACGGTGAATGTTTCCATGAAACATGACTATCCTGGTAGCCTCCAATTCGGAAAATATCTTGTAAACATTCCAGCCTTTGTTTTCACTTTGACCAGTACAATTTCAATCCGGCAGCCTATTTCTCACACCTAAAAATTAACAATACAAAGAGGAAGAACTCACCATCGTACTATCTTAACGGGGTCTTTCTTTGGCATAATTTGGTTTAGCCATGGTTCAATACCCGGGAATTGATCTATCAGTTGGTTCTTAATGCCTTTAATAACCGATGTTTTCAACTGGATGCAGTTCGATACATTCTCTTTTTCATCAAATCTGACAAACAAATTATATAATGTTACTTCTTCATCCACTTACAATGCGGTGATGCATGTATTTCTTTGCCCAACAAAACTGCAGTGACTAGTCCAGATCAGGAAGCAACAGGGATTTATTTGAAAGCATTTAAAAAATAAATAAAACCAAGAAACATACACAAAAGTTCTATGTTTCCTCACATTTTACTTCAGATAATATGTTCAGGATTTCATCTCAAAGGCCATATTTATTAATATTAATGTATATTATTAATATTTATAATCACAGTCCATTTGCATTGTTTTAAATATTTTAGCTTGTGTTTAATTGGTTGTAATTGCCTAGAGTCACCTTTAGGCAAAGATGGGCGGTGTATAACTTTTACAAATAAACAGATTAAAATAAGGTATGTTGGATCTCTCCAAGATTAGTAACACTATAGTCTCCAACATCCCCAACATAGTTCTGTAAACTATGTAAACTGTAAACTACCCTAGAAGGGTAGAAAACAGTCAGAAGCATTGCCAATGAAAGGGATACAGAGTTTATTTCCTGTATGAATGTGGGCACCACCACCCCGCCCTTCAACCAGCTTCTAGGACCTGCACCAGCCAAGAAGTCGGATGATGTAAAAAATTAATATATTAATATATCAATACTTGAAGGGCTGTCACAGAAAAGAGGGTTTACTTTGTTCTCCAAAGCACCTGCAAGAACAAGAAGCAATGGGTGGAAACCTGTCAAAGGGAGACCCGATCAGAAACTAAGGAAGAATTTCCTGACAGTAAGAACAATTAATCAGTGGAATAGTTTGCATCCTGAAATTGTAGATGCTCCAACACTGGAGGTTTTTAAGAAGAGATCGGACAATCATTTCCCCAGGATGGTATAAAGACTCCTGCCTTGGGCAAGGGGGCTGGAGTAGAAGACCTTCAAGGTCCCTTCCAGCCTTATGATCCTAGTTCTATTTTGGTTGCACAGATATTGTATCTCAGGATGAATCTGAGAGTGAGGATGAAATTTGATGAGAGTGGGGGTGCTTTGGGCAAGGGGGTTGGCCTAGATGACCTCCAAGGCCCCTTCCAGCCTTGTCATCCTACTTCTAGTCTGATTGCATTGATATTGTATCTCAGGATGAATCTTGAGTTAGGGTGAAATTTACTGATAGTGTGGGGGGGTGCTTTGGGCAAGGGGGGTTGGCTTAGATGACCTCTAAGGTCCCTTCCAGCCCTGTCATCCTACTTCTAAGTCTGATTGCATTGATATTGTATCTCAGGATGAATCCGAGTTAGGGTGAAATTTAGTGATGGGGGGATATATTGGGCAAGGGGGTTGGTCTGGATGACCTCCAAGGTCCCTTCCAGCCCTGTCATCCTACTTCTAAGTCTGATTGCATTGATATTGTATCTCAGGATGAATCTGAGAGTTAGGATGAAATCTGATGAGAGTGGGGGTGCTTGGGGCAAGGGGGTTGGCCTAGATGACCTCCAAGGTCCCTTCCAGCCCTGTCATCCTACTTCTAAGTCTGATTGCATTGATATTGTATCTCAGGATGAATCTTGAGTTAGGGTGAAATTTACTGATAGTGTGGGGGGGTGCTTTGGGCAAGGGGGGTTGGCTTAGATGACCTCTAAGGTCCCTTCCAGCCCTGTCATCCTACTTCTAAGTCTGATTGCATTGATATTGTATCTCAGAATGAATCCGAGTTAGGGTGAAATTTAGTGATGGGGGGGATATATTAGGCAAGGGGGTTGGTCTAGATGACCTCCAAGGCCCCTTCCTACTTCTGTCATCCTACTTCTAGTCTGATTGCATTGATATTGTATTTCAGGATGAATCTTGAGTTAGGGTGAAATTTACTGACTGTGTGGGGGTGCTTTGGGCAAGGGGGTTGGCTTAGATGACCTCTAAGGTCCCTTCCAGCCCTGTCATCCTACTTCTAAGTCTGACTGCATTGATATTGTATCTCAGGATGAATCTGAGAGTTAGGATGAAATCTGATGAGAGTGGGGGTGCTTGGGGCAAGGGGGTTGGCCTAGATGACCTCCAAGATCCCTTCCAACCTTATGATCCTCGTCCTATTTGGATTGCACAGATATTGTATCTCAGGATGAATCTTGAGTTAGGGTGAAATTTACTGATAGTGGGGGGAGGTGCTTTGGGCAAGGGGGTTGGCTTAGATGACCTCTAAGGTCCCTTCCAGCCCTGTCATCCTACTTCTAAGTCTGGTTGCATTGATATTGTATCTCAGGATGAATCTGAGAGTTAGGATGAAATCTGATGAGAGTGGGGGTGCTTGGGGCAAGGGGGGTTGGCCTAGATGACCTCCAAGGTCCCTTCCAACCTTATGATCCTAGTCCTATTTGGACTGCACCGATATTGTATCTCAGGATGAATCTGAGGATGGATTTTAACGGTAGCGGGTGGGAGGGTTGTTTTGGGCGGGGCGGGGCGGGGCGGGGACTAGACGACCTCTAGGGTCCCTCCCCGCCCTGTGGCGATGCTTGGCCCGCACAATCGGGCAGAGGGTCTCGCCTGGCTTTGCCATCCCTGCCCCCCCCCCGATCCCCGATGAGGAGGATCCCAGGCCGCCTATTAGACGCAGTCATCGCAGCATCCAACGCGACCTCGAAGGGGATCGGGCCTACCCCTCTCCTCCCAGCCCGGCAGGCCTCGATGATGGGAGTTGTAGTCCCCCCACCCACCCTTCCAAGCCCCCCCCCATCCACCCCCACGCCGCGTCCCGGCCCTGCTCCCCCGTGGCGGGGCTCCCCCGCGGCCCTCGCCACTCACTTCTTGAACATCCTGGGCTGACGGGCGCTGCTCCCCGCGAGGCCGGGCGGAGCGAGGGCTGGGGCGGGTGGGGACGGGCACCCCGGGCTCCCGCGTCGTCCCTCCTGGCACGCTCACGCAAGGCCTCTCCGGCCCTTCCTTCTCGTCTGCCCTCGCCGGAAAGGGAACGCGGGGCGGAGGGGGGACGCTTTACGGCCGTCGCAAACCGCGCGGGCGTCGAGGAGCGAAGAAGGCAGCGCCCCAGCTCCCGAAGGGTGAGCCCGGCTTCCCTCGAAAACTACCGCTCCCGGCAGGCTGCGCGCCACGGAAGGGGGTGAGCGGGCGCTCGGAGCAGGAACGGCCGTTACCATGGAGACGCGTCGAGCGAGGCCTAGGCTGCCTGGCTCTGCCTTAAAGGGACCGCTACGATTAAAAAAACAAAAACAAAAAACCCGGAGAAATAAATACAGGTCGTCCTCGATTTACGACAGTTCGCTTAGTGACCATTGAAAGTGACAGCGGCGCTGAAAAAAATGACTTAGGACCGTTTTTCACACAGCCATTGCAGCATGCCCATGGTCAAGCGATCAAAATTCAAGACACTTGGCAACTGGTTCATATTTATGACGTTTTCAGTGTCCCGGAGCCATGTTCTTGTGGAAAACGAAAGGACTCTTACGAATTCCACATTAATGTGATCCATTTTTCGACCTTCTGACAAGCCAGGTCAATGGGGAAGCCAGATTCATTTAACGACCCTGTTACTAACTTCACAGCTGCAGTGATTCACTTAACAACTGTGGCAAGAAAGGTCGTAAAATGGGGCAAAACGCATTTAACAAATGTCTCGCTTAGCAACAAATATTGGGGGCTCTCTTGTGATCGTAACCAAGGACTATCTGTATATCAGACTTCAATATTCCCAGCATGTCCCTGTGATTTATAGGCCGATCCTGCTTTTTGACTTGATCCCAATGTTCCTTTTTAGGGGCATCCAATGCAAAGTGCATCCAATATGTCAACTGGAATATAGGCCCACCTGCAGCTTTTATTATCAGTGTTTCTCAGTCTTAGCAATTTCTTGAAATGTATTTATTCGGTCAATGACCTTAGCAACTCCAAGATATGTGGACTTCAGCTGCCAGAATTCCCCAGCCAGCATGTTTATTCTGGGATCTTTGGTTAAACCGTGGCTTAATGCACTGCTATTTTAATTGATATCTATGGTACTAGTTGCTTCCAATCTCCAAGTTTTCATGTCTAAATAGGTTGGGACCTGGTTATCTAGGGACAGGAGTTAATGGCTTTAGCCCTGGAATCAGCCATAAAGGCCTTTATTTCCCATCTCACTAGGTTAGTAGAAGAGGCAAAGTTGGTTAACTTTAGAATCTGATTTATCTATATCTCACCTTTCTTACTTTGATGGATGTCAGTAATATGAATAAAAAATATTCAAAGTTGAATCTGAAATTTTTATTTTTAAAGTAACGCTTTGGATACACAGGTTCCAGAAACTTCAAAGCCAACACAGATGAAAATATACCAGCTAGTATATTAAAAAAATAAATAAGATAAAATTAGAAAAAAAATAAGAAAAACTGAAATCAAAATACTTATCCTTTTACGATATAGAGAACATGAAATACAGAGAGTACTTCAGTATACAGAATAACTTGAAAAGTGGAGACTTTTTAATTTATACCCATTTCTGCTCTAGTGAGCAGACAGAACACCAAGAAAAGGCAAGTTAATCATTCACCTTATTAAAAAAATTAAAGAACAAAAAGTCTCTTGAAGAATCTGGAATTAAAGTATCTGGAATTAAAGAACAAAAAGTATCTGGAAACTGATGTCAGTTTGTGAAAATTGAAGCCATCATATTTTTGCAAACATGAGATGAAAGAATAGTCAAAAAGACCATTCTTCAAAAACCCTAAAAATTAGGTCATTGATATTAAACTGCCCTTAAAAAAAAAAAACCAGGAAGTATCCAGAGATGCATTTTAGGTGTGAATTTTAAACCCTGCACAACGCACAAATCAGGAATCGAGCATAAATCCTGGCACCAAGAACCCATCTATTATTAATTATTATTTATTATTAGTGTTGTTATTATTTTTATTGCTGTTGTTTCCTGTTCCTGCAAATGGAGTTTGCTCAAGGCGTTGAGTTTCAAACGAGCTGGAAATGGGGAGGGGAAAGCATCCAGTTGCGGCAGCCTCTCGGCCCGGCCGCCGACCTCACCGCCCGCCCCTTCCTCCTCGCTTCCGAAAGGCAGAGCCAGGAGCCGGCCCCGGGCGAAGGAAGGGAGGGAGGGAGGGAGGAAGAAGACAGGCAAGCGCGACCCCGACGGGCAAACCCACGAGAGCCGGGAGGCGGGGACCAAAGCCTTCCCCTGCCCGTTTCTTCACTTTCTTCCTGGTTGGGGAAGAAAAGGGGGGACGGGCCCGCCTCTTCAACCCCGCCGCGAAGGAAGGAAGGAAGGAAGAAAAGGAGGGGTGGCCCCGCCGGCCGCTCTCCCACCCCGCTTCCGCTTTTCGTCACGTGGGAGGCCCCCCCAACTAAGGAAGCCGACGAGGCTCAATCCCGAGGGGTTAGCCCCCCCTCTCTCCCCGGCATCTGGACTACGCCGAGGGAAAGGAAGCCGAGGAGGCGCCGCTACGGGAGCCGGCGAGGGCCTCCGGGTCGCCCCGCCGAGCGAGAACGCGTCCGCCCGGCTCCCCCTCGGCGTCAGGAGCGCTCCAGGCGGCCGGCCGAGCCAGCCCGTCGGCCCGCGAGCGCGGCGTGCCATGGCCGGGCGCTCCAGGCACCCGCCGCTCCAGCAGCCGCCCGGCGACACAATCACTTCCGGTAGGGCAGAGGGCAGAGGGGAAGCGGGCGCCAGGGAGCGGGGTGAGGCGGGGGAGGGAGGCCGGGGCGGGCCGGAGGGCGGGAAAAAGGGAAGGGGCGACGAGCCGGACCCCGGTGTCCCGCGGCTCCCCGCCGGCTTCCTCCCTCCCCCCACCCCGAGCGCGTCGCGAGAGGCGCCGCGGCGTCTTTGGCCAGCCTGCCGGCGGCGCTTCCGGACGGGCGGCCTCCCGGCATGCCGAGCGGCCGGATGTGCCGCCATCTTTAGGCCCCCTGCTTTCTCCGTTCCAGTATTGACAATAACAAGCGGCGGTCCTCGCCCGGCGGCCCTCCTTCCCCTCTGCGGGCCGCGAAAAAGGCGGGCGGAGGAAGGGAGCTCGACCCTCTCCCCCCGCTCCCCGAGGCCGGGCGGCAGAGAGAGAGAGAGAAGGAGAGGAGGGGGCGGCCCCCGGGCGGGAGAGACCGAGAGGACCCTCTCCCCCCCCCCCACTGCTGCCCGTTGAGGAAGGGGCAGAGTGGCCGAGCCAGGCCTCGCGGAGTCGGGGGCGGGGTAGAGAAGCGGGGCCCGGCCCGTTCGGCACCGCCGCGAGAGGCGAAGTGCCCCGAGAGGCGAAGGGGAGACGCTTCCAGGCGCTTCCACCCCCCCACCCCCACCCCAGAAGGAAAAGCGGGGAAGGAGGCCTCGCCCGTCCCTTTGCCCCCCCCCCTTCGACCACCAGGCCGCGACCTTCCGTGACCAGCTCTGCGCCCGCCCCTCTCTGCGTGTCCGTCACACCAGGAGGATTTGATGCCCTTCAGCCTGCTCACCTCTGTGGTGTTCATGTTTCCCACAGGTTTCTCTTCCCCCAACCCCCCAGCAGCAGCAGCAGCAGCGGCGGCGGCGGCTCAAGAGGTCAGGCCTGCCACGGATGGTGGTAGCAGCAGCAGCTCCACCACCACCACCACCAAGAAGAGAAAGCTAAATAGTAATAGCAACAGTAGTGAGAGAGAAGACGTTGACTCCATCTCCTCCTGTTCGTCCCTTCTTTCGAGAAACAGCAGCTCGTCCTTGCCCGCTCTCATTATCACGGCCTCCACGGCCTCCTGTTCTTCCTCCTCCACCTCCTCCTCCTCCTCCTCCTCAGGGGTTGCTTCTTCCAACCATCACCTGCAGAAGAAGCTGCGTTTCGAGGACTCCTTGGATTTTATCGGACTGGATGTGAAGATGGCGGAGGAGTCTTCCTCTTCGTCCTCCTCGTCGCCGGCGGCCTCTTCGCAGCAGCACCAGCAGCTCAAAAACAAAAGCCTCTTAATCTCCTCAGTCGCTGTGGGACACCACGCCAATGGCCTGACCAAAGCTGCCTCCTCCACGGTCTCCAGTTTTGCGAACAGTAAACCTGGGTCAGCCAAGAAGTTAGTGATCAAGAACTTTAAAGGTAACCAGCTGCTGTCATTCCTAATCTCTTAAGGTCTGTGTCTGAAGGGGAAACGGCAGCGTAAGGCACATTTTCACTGTAGCCCCTGGCCCAGGATTTATTCCTCTACAGCTTAATTCCCAAGTGTAGCAGGTTTTCTGCCTACGTGCAAAACCAACTAGCTTTCTTATAAGAAAGGAAGACATCTTCAGAGGTTACACTTAAGTGCTTTCTTGCCTGTATTGTAGCCCTTTTGTTGAACAGTAGCCAATGGGAACCGCTGAGGAAGGAACTGGTCTCCCTTCATTTGTACATCCTGTATAGGATGCAGTTGGAGAGTACGGCAAAATCTCGAGTTATTAAAAGAGACGGATGAATATAAGTATTTAAAATATAAATAGATATTAATGGCAACTTGAAGACACTACTTTGCTTACTTAGGTGGGCACAAATGTTTATATAGGCAAATGGATATTGTCTTGCATGCTTTGTCAAATTCAAATATATGAATCTATGCAGTAAGAGTTTTAGTTTGTATTAGAGCAGAATAGTACAAAATGAGATGCTGTGTTTTCCCTTTCTACAATCAGTTTGCTTTCCCATGGGTCTGTTATAGTCATTATTTTTTATTACTATGATTCATCACACAGTCAGGCGGATGGGATGATCGGACTGTTTTTGGCATTTTTATCTACCTAAGAAACTGGGATAAGCAGATGGGGGTTGTTTAATAATATTAAAGGTATCGTCACAAGATGTAAGCTGTGTTCTGAATAAAGCTGCCTTTTGCAATTGACTGGTGGTGATTTTGTCAATGCTGATGTTCAAGTGGTGCTCCAGTTGTTTTGGGATTACATCCAAGGGGCCTATTACTTTTGATACTACCTTTGCTTTTTTTGCCACAGTCATCTGTTTTCATTTGCAGATCTTTGTATTTTGTTGTCTTCTCTATTATTATGTGCTTTTGAGTCACATTTTGATTCTTGGTCACTGTCTGGACCAGTTCCAGTTTCTGCAATTTTCTTGGTAAGGTTTTTCAGAATTGGTTTGCCAGTGACTGGCCCAACGTCATCCAGTTGGCTTTGTGCCTAAATAGTCATCCAAACCAGTGGAGAAAGAAAGCAGGGAATTCTTTAAATGTTCTTCAACAATTTGCCCCAATTGATCTGAAAAATCATCTAGAATTGATAGGGAGTGGAGAGGATTTGATGTTCATTTGAAACTAGATTATCCTGGCATAATTTTGAAATAATAGATACAGTAACAAGTGGATATTCTGATCCTCTAAGGTTGAGACAAATACCTTTAGATTTCTGACACTGTGAAGTTGAAAAATGTTAGGGTACTTAACACTGTACATAATCTAGGAGAAAATCATACATTTGTAAGAGATTTAAACATGGTTTTCTTAATCAAAAGATACTATATTGTACATTGTGTTGAATAAATTGACATTTTAAATATGTTTTTCATACATTGTATTACTTCCTCCCTGTATAGTTTTTGGTTCTAAGAAGAATTAAAGCTATGTTTGTTTTGTAATTTTGTTTCAGGCAATAAATGCATCATACATTGTATTGGCTGTCTCTGTTAAATAACTTTTGTATATTAACAAATTACTCAGACATGCCTTAGTTTTTTTAAACATTGCGCTATATAGAGCAATTTTTTTAAACATTGTGCTATATAGAGCAATTTCTGCCTTTGTGGACAATTTGTACATTTCCTTGTTTTCACATGATAATGATAATTTTAATTTATAATTCACTGCATACAATAGATCAATATTATGCTGACATTTTGCTTGTTTTTTTTTACTTACGTAATCTAAATTAAAATTATACATCATGTACGATCTGTCATTGAAAGCCAATATAATCAGCTGTCCCTAGTTGATTTTCTCTATTTTAAGCTGGTACAAAATAACAAGCAAGAAAATCTTGTGATTTTGAAGCTGAACAGATTAGGTACTTAATTTCAGGCATTCTGAAATTGATCTGAGACATTGTGACAAGACATAAAGAAGAAATATCCTAGTAGATAACGTCCATCTTCAGTTTGCATTAAAAAAAGAAAACCTGAATCAGAATACTGATGCATCCTCACTAAGAAACCTTACTGACTTGTTCATTGGTCTGAAACATTTGAGCTTTTACCAGGGGCCAAATCACCAAAATCATCTCTCTTGCTCACAAAGCAAAAATTGGTACTCCACATCACCTTTTTTGTTTTTACCTCTACTTATAAAAATTCTTTCTTTCTGGTTTATGAGGTTGTCCAAAAGAAATTATTGAAGTTACTGTTGGGAGCATTACTGTAGGCTTTACAAGTGCTACACCAAATCAATTTCTGTGATTTTTAAATGATACATTTGTTGTAAAGAATTCTGTCTTCTTCCAGATAAACCTAAACTGCCTGAAAATTATACAGATGAAACCTGGCAAAAACTGAAAGAAGCTGTAGAAGCGATTCAGAACAGTACTTCGATCAAGTACAACTTAGAAGAGCTTTACCAGGTAAGCATTCATGGATGTACTTTCAATTCATGAGTGGACCTTGCAAAAATTCAAAGGGTTTCCTCCACTTTCTAGGATGTGGTTGAGATCCCATATTCATTTTCTAGATGAGATGCAGTCTCAGTTAGACAAATGAGAAAATTAACAAGAACATCTTCAGAATTCCTTATGAGCTGATCTTCATGCTTTCTCCCTGTAGAAATTCTACAATATAAAGTTGTTTTTGTGAAATGTTCCTGTTTGACTTTCTGTGTGCCATTTTTGGGAATACTGTGCTGGCCTGGGCCACAACTGCCTTGATAGATATAGGGCAGAATTCCCTATTTGGGGATGATTGAAGCCCCCTTCTGGGTAATGCTGGTTTGATTTAGTTACTTTCCAGTTTGTGCCATTTTTTTCGTTCTTTGTTTTTATCATGGTATTCTTTTATTCTGTATGTTTTTAATCTGTGAAGCACCCAGAGTTCTAGGGAATTGGGTGGTGTGAAGTTTTAATAAATAAAATCCACCAGTAAAAGTTCCATTATCAACTACTTCCAAACAAATCAAACACGTGCATTCCTTTCATTGAAAAAAAGCCAAAAAGTGCCCAACAGAGTCTCCAAAGGGATATTTTTCTACGAAAATTAAGCCTTTTTGACTACCTATTTGAAAATCAGAGAACAACGCTATAATATTTCAAGCTCTGCCCTCAGTACACATCTGGTATGTTATTAGCTTTGATAAGTACTAGAACAAAAAAAAATCAGTTTTGTTATAAAAAGTGCTGGTTTATTATATAAACATTTAAACTCTGTACAGTTAAAAATACTAAGACATTGATATGTAGTTTACTATCATAATATTTAATGTTCACAGTAATAAATATTCTACTGCCTGAAATTTTTTTCACAATCCTCTGTTTTAAAAACTTAAACTGCTTAAGTATTTAATTATAGATACATTTCATGGATATTTTAACAGGTTCATTCTCTGTTCTTCATGGTTTAAATATCAGGTCTTTTTTCCATGTGTTGATTTTACTGATCGTCACTGGTTTAAAGTTCTGGATTAATATTATGAAGAAAAATGCTACATCCGGTTAGATATTTTAGTTTAGATCTCCTTGTTAAATTGAGAATTAAATTAGCTAATGAAGATTTGGTAAATCTGTGGAATTCAGTAGTACTATGGCAAGCCTTATTGATATATCCTAAAGAATCTCTTTGCAGTTGGTTTAACATACTTTAAAATCCACTAAGACTTTGCTTAAGACTTCATAATATGATTATGCGTGTTTCTATAAATCGCCCTCAATCACGGTCTGTTTATATCTTCCCTTTTAGTTTTACCTTCCAAGGGTATCAGGTGCAGATTTTGGGTGTTATTTGGCAGGACATTAACAGTGTGCTCACAACCCACCAGGAATATTGTGTAACTGTGGGATTTTAGATCTTAAAAACTACTATTTATTTCAAATAGATGCGTTATTTCCTTAGGCCAGAAAAATCTGATTTTTATACAAAGCACGACTATTAAAAAAGGATTACATCGGAGGGTTTTTAAGTTGAATAGGTTAGAATTAAAAACAAAAGTGATTGAAATTTTATAAGACCATCGGCATTGTCATTTAAAATGGTATGAACCTTGTGTTCACTGTCGTGTGATCTAAATGCAGAAAAGTACAGCTTGCTAGCATCCATTTTGTGAACCTCACAGCAATCCCCAGAGTGTGTGGAATCAAAATTGGACCAGTTTGTGGGGTTATGGATTAAAAATGTGGACCTTGCAGACACGTAAGGCATCTTTTTCATAGCTGAGTTTTCTAGAGAAAGCCAGTTTACACACCAGATTTGAAAGTGCAACCTTTGACAAGCCATGTAATGCTGGGATAGTCCTTGAGCCGCTAGTCCTATTAAGAGAGGCATTCAGTTTATCAGGAAAAGCAGTTTAACTATTCAAAGAATCTTTTAGCTTTTTGTCTAACCAAGGCGACTTAACGTATTTGAAAGAAATGAAAGAAACTACATTTGCTCTGTCACTGTTTTGTTCAGGTTCTCTGTGTGTGTGTGAGTGTCCACCATTACACACACATATGTATATGTGGAATTCTGTCAAGGCCTTAGCAGACCCTCTGATTTAGTATATATTCAGAGCTATATTTTGGAAAGCAAAGCAGCTGCATTTTCTGTCGACATGATTTGTCTGGGTCTATTTTTAATACCTTGAGTTAAAAATAGTCATATGGTTGCTGGTAACTAAAGACTAAATAAAACCATTCTCCCTAAGACCAGCAGAACTGGTAAATGGATCTACTTCTAATTATGCTTTTTTTAAGTACCATTATCTAAGTCCTGGCAGGGTTTAGGGGTTTTTTTCCTCTCTCTCTCTTTCTCTCTCTCTTAACACATGTCAAAGTATTGAGACACACCTATTGTTTCTTGACACCTTACTTCCTCTGCTGGTAAGCAAACAGAAATTGCATTCTCCATTATTAATACATTAGGCAAAATAAGGAGGAAAGTGAGTTATGTAATTCTTCTATTTTCTTTTCCTGTTTTTTTCTTTTTAGGCTGTTGAAAATCTTTGCTCCTACAAAATTTCTGCGAATTTGTACAAGCAACTAAGGCAGATTTGTGAAGACCACATCAAAGCACAGATTCATCAATTCAGAGAATATCCTTTATAATAAATATTTCATACACATGGAAAGCACACTGGGGCTTTGTCAACCATTTTAGCAGTCCTCATGGATTAAGAAATGTGGTACTTGTGGATTCTTTTGGCAGCTACAAAGTACCTTAAAATATTCCAGCAGAAGACAAATGTATGTTGCCTGTCAACTAATCAGTTTAATTATTAAACTGAATATAGCACATTCTTCCTGGAACTTGCCATGTGTAGGTGGATACTCACATTTAAACATTTGGGAGCAGAATATTAAACTAATAAGTAAACTTCCACTAAAGCGGTGTCAATGACACATCCACTCTTTTTAAAAAAATATTCTTAACTGCTTCCTCAAGGATTCGTTGGACAGTGTTCTTTTTCTTAAGAAAATAGACAAATGTTGGCAAGACCACTGTAGACAGATGGTAAGTCTTCTTTGTTTGCTAAAAGTTTCTAAAAGCTTGGAACTAAAGATGGATATCTTCTATGGCATTTGAAAACTTTCCCTGGAGGAACTGGGTCTATCTGAGACCGCACTGAAGGGTTAGATCTGGGTGGCAAGTTTAAGATACTGGGGAATTCTGGGAGTTGAAGTCTACAACTCTTAAAGCAGCTGAAGTTGGACACAGCTAGATTTGATGGCTCCTCAGAAAAAGAGGATTGTGTATTCATGGACAGTTTAACTAATCTTTTTGTATTGTTAACTGTGTCCCCAAAAAAAGGATTCCAGTAATTTGTACTTAGGAACAGTTTGAGGGGAATTTAAGAATTGGATTCAGGTTTATCTCAACTGTCTCAGTTCTTTCTGTTGAAGGTTAGTGAATAGCAGAAACTTCTAGAAATATTTTTTTCTCAACAGGAAATGGGAGACCTGTTGACAATATCTTTCACCCCCCCTGAAATATTTATCTGTGGGGTCATTAAAAAGATCTGTGTTGCTGTCCATAAATTCTTTGTGAAGTGTTTGACTTTTCACACTGGCAGTCAATAAGCATAGATATCTGGAAGTAAATTCCCTTAAATTAAATGGCTCTCCCTTCCAAATTAACGTATCTAGACGAAGGCGGTTAAATAATCTTAACGTTCTATTCATCCAATAAATATAGACTTTAAAATTGGCCAACATGTGACAGGTTTTTTTTTCTTTCTTTTCTTTCTTTCTTTCTTTCTTTCTTTCTTTCTTTCTTTCTTTCTTTCTTTCTTTCTTTCTTTCTTTCTTTCTTTCTTCTCTCCTTTCTTACAGATAATGATTAGAAGTATCTTTTTGTTCCTGGATCGAACCTACGTTCTCCAAAATTCAATGCTGCCATCCATTTGGTGAGTGCAAAAAAAAGTAGTATTGACTTCCCACTTCTGAACGCGTTGTCGAGCTATTGATTAGTAGTTTTTCTATCCTGGCGGAGCGATGGCATGTCCACAGTGAATAGAGAACCCTTAACAAAAACAAGAAATTATGTTCCCTTTCCTTCGTGTATTTCCTCCTGCCAAGACCTTCGTTAAAATGTGTGGGTTTGGGTTGTATTCAAAAGCCGGTTCAAATAAATAGCAAACTCTTCGATGTCATAATGAATGTGAGGCCGACATGAGGACTAGGATGTTACATGAGTCTCACCTGTAATGTCTGAATTGGCTTACCGGCTTCCTCAAGTTACACACCGTTGTGGTTACAAGCGACGGTGTATAAACCAGCACCTTCTGCCAAACCAACGACTTCTTCATTACAGGTCGTCCTCACGACCGCAAGTCAGCCCAGAATTTCTGTCGCTAAGCAAGACAGTTGTTAAGTGGGTTTTGCCCCATTTTTATGACCTTTCTTGCCACAGCGGTTAAGTGAATCCCTGCATTTGTTAAGTGCAGACATTCACGGTTGTTAAGTGAATCTTTGCTTGTCAGAAAGTCTCAAAAGGAGATCGCGTGACCCCGGGAGACACTGCGACCGTCATAAGTTTGAACCATTTGTCAAGCACCCGAATTTTGATCCCGTGATTTTTGGGGGTGCTTGCAGTGGTTATAAGTAGTGTGAAAAATGGTCCTCGGTCATTTTTTCCAGGGATGTTGTAACTCTGAGCGGTCACTCATTGAACTGCTGTAAGTCAAGGACCACCTGTAATTGGCTTAAACCTTAAATCACAACTTAGTAAAACCAGCGGACACAACAACCGACTCTTTATGTTCTTTTTTTTTGTTGTTCTTTTTTTTTCTTCCACCCTTCCAGGGATATGGGTCTCGAATTGTTTAGGACTCACATAATTAGCGACCAGAAGGTCCAGAACAAAACCATTGATGGCATCCTTCTCTTGATCGAGAGAGAAAGAAACGGCGAGGCTATCGACCGGAGTCTGCTTCGCAGCCTTCTAAGCATGCTTTCAGATTTGCAAGTAAGAGCCGCCCATTGTGGTAAATTTGCCTAAAAATTCATTGAGGGCTGAGCATTCTGAAAGGAACGGTCTGTTTCTGTTCCCCTCAGATTTATCAGGATTCTTTTGAGCATAGATTTTTGGAAGAAACCAACCGTCTCTACGCCGCAGAAGGACAGCGGCTTATGCAAGAAAGAGAGGTACTTTATTATTCACTCCGAAGCGCCGCTTCTAATTCCTCCTTTTGTGAGCAGATGTCTTTCCCTCTTATCCCCCCCCCACCCTTCCAAAGAAATCTCCATTACCGTACGTTGCGATTTTCCCCCGTAACTTACTCAATCTTCCAGGTCCCAGAATATCTCCATCATGTCAATAAACGCTTGGAAGAAGAAGCAGACAGGATTATAACTTACCTGGATCAAAGCACTCAGTAAGTGTTTTGCCCTCTCTTGACCTGCTGTCTGAAAACCTGGCAGGACTTTTTTTTTTTCCTACTTCAGCCGTTGCTTTTTGCTAGCCTGGGTTTGTGGGCTTTGTTTTGCCCTTTACGTGTCTTTCCTTATGGGGTCTCTTGGGCTCCTGGTGGCAAAACCCTATTTATTTTTGCTTCTCTTCCCAGCCTTTGATGCTTAAATTGTTGGGAAATGTTGATGCTTAAACTGCGACCATTCCTGGTGTTCGGATTAAATGAATAATTTGAACGGTATAGGGCAGTGTTTCTCAACCTTGACAATTTTAAGGCATGTGGACTTCAACTCCCAGCACTCTGCAATATCAGTAATCTTAATTATCAGGGGCTCCTTTGCATATATTCTAAATGGAAAACTGTGTTTGGAATTGACCTCTTGTTGAATTCTTTTATAAGAAATTATAGATGTCCACTTACAGAGCCTAAAGAACGGGAATAATGGCATACCCATCCAGTGGCTTTTTGTTTCAGGTCGTTTTCTGCCTGCCTAAAGAAGGCGAGAAAGATAAAAGAGAATGCAAAATAGCTTTTTTTAAAATAAATAAATAAATAATAAATAAATAAGGATAAACCACAGTAATGTTGTTGGGAATTCTGCCTACCTAAAGAAGGTGAGAAAGATAAAAGAGAACACAAAATAGCTTTTTTAAATAAAATAAATAAATAAATAAGGATAGACCACAGTAATGTTGTTGGGAAATGTTGATGCTTAAATTGTTGGGAAATGTTGATGCTTAAACTGTGACAATTCCTGGTGTTCGGATTAAATGAATAATTTAATCGGACAATTCCTGGTGTTCGGATTAAATGAATAATAACGGTATAGGGCAGTGTTTGTCAACCTTGACAATTTTAAGGCATGTGGACTTCAACTCCCAGAATTCCACAGCCAGCAATGCTGGCTGTGGAATTCTGGGAGTTGAAGTCCACATGCCTTAAAATTGTCAAGGTTGACAAACACTGGTATAGGGTCTCTTGCTTGAGCAGGGGGCTGGATTAGAAGACCTCCCAGGTCCCTCCCAGCTCTATTCTGATTAATTGGCTAATAATAGGTTTGTAATTCTAAATGTTTTTTTCCTGTAGGAAACCTCTAATCGCCACTGTAGAAAAACAGTTGCTAGGTGAACACTTAACATCCATTCTACAGAAAGGTAAATCCATCTTATCTTTATAGAAATTTTTGTGTACTGCTTCTTCTGGGCTTTTGGTTCCCTGAGATGGGTGGAAATGACCCAATCGGGCTGATTCTGACAAACCCACACACACCCCTTATCACTGTATCCCATGACACTGTATTCCAGGGGGACCTCTGCAGGTCACATTCTCCTTATGGGAGGAAAGGAACCAAAAGAATGCGGTCGGTTGTGCTTTGCAATACCGACTTGTGCTAAGAATAGCCGAGGGAAATATGGATGCAGCTATTTCAAAAGGACAGTGGCGGCTGGATCAGACTCAGCTGCCAGGCCTAGGGTTTTAAAGCACAATGTTGGCCAACCCTTAGTTATTTGTCTTACCAGGGCAGAGAAAATGTGGAAAGCTTGCAGGCGACAAACACTTCACTTTTTCCCTTTTAAACTTTGAGTTGTGCTCCATAAAACAAAAGATTGTGTTAAGGGGAAATCTTAAGAATTGGGGGTGGGGGGGCACTCAGGATCTTTATTTGCAGCTCTAGACCCTCTGTGCCAGGGGTCCCCAACCTTGGCAATTTCAAGACTTGTGGAATTCTAGGAGTTGAAGTCCACAAGTCTTAAAGTTGCCATGGTTGGGGACCCCTGCTCTATGCAGCTGCTGAAAATAAGGGTCATTCTGGCCCCCCATTTGGAGTCAGGAACCACACAACAGTGGTATTCTAAATCTTAAAATAGATTCAACACATAAAAAAAAAATCTTATAATTCTCCCAAACTTTTAACAGAATATGGAATATCCTGATCTGTCTCGTGCAGATAACATGATCCTATCCGTGTTATGCCATTGCCCTGCCCACTGCTTCACCCCAGACCCAAAATTTAAGAGTGGCTCTTTCCTAATAGAGGTTTATCAGACAACCCTAGCCAGCTTTTGCTGGAATCATGGTTATTATTACAGATGGAAATCCTGTCAAGAGAACTCTTATAAAAATTCAGAAATGCTTCTGAAAGTAAAGTGGGTTATTTATTTTTTTAATCCTTCCTAACATTGTAGACTATTAAAAGTCTTGAATATGCTCTGTCTAACCACGTTGTTACATTTTTTGGCTTTGGAAAAAAATATATTTTCTTGTTCTCACATTTCAAATTTAAGTTTGAAATGTTTTGTCTCAGTCAGCCTGCATTAACTTAAAATCGTGTTACCTTAATTTTTGCAGGTTTAAATCATCTCCTGGATGAAAATCGAATTCAAGATTTGTCACTACTCTATCAGTTGTTTAGCAGGGTCAAAAATGGAGTGCAGGCTCTCTTGCAGCAGTGGATTGAATACATAAAGGTAATTGTGCCTGGCTAATTTTCTTAAATTAAGTTGTAGATTTGTTAAAATAAACGAAAATAATTGCATGGTAATGAATGTAGAGGTCAAAGAAACTTGCATATATATTTTTTCTCTCACATAGAAAGATAACTTGCATAAACCATGGAATTTTGAAGTTGGTTGGTCTTTTGAAATAATCCAACTTGTATTGATTCCTCCAAGGAATTTGAAACTTCAGTGGGAAGGTTTTATCTTTGTTGAATCAATTGGATTTTGCTCCCAAATGGAGCATTTTCATTGCTTATGTTTTCAGAAAATCCTTCTTGTATTTGGGAAGCATTTCTACCCAAGTACAAAATGGTTCTCTAAACAGCGTGACGAGGCTAGCATATAAATAGCCATTCTAACTTGGTTTTGTTACTAATTTCCTTGGAATTCTCAGGATGTTTTTTTATTAACTTGCTATCAATTATATTAAGAACAAATACCCTTTTTCATGTTGCTTTAGGCATTTGGTAGCACCATTGTCATTAATCCCGAAAAAGACAAAACCATGGTCCAGGAGCTGCTAGATTTCAAGGATAAAGTGGATCACATCATCGACATCTGTTTTTTGAAAAACGAGAAGTTTGTCAACGCCATGAAAGAAGCTTTTGAAACGTTCATCAACAAACGACCCAATAAACCAGCTGAACTCATAGGTACAAATGCATCATTCCTCCAGGAGTTGTCAAATAGAATGTTAAAAGGGATTATAGCTCAAAATCCCTGAAGTTGTGTTCAGGGGTAGAGGATGTCCCAGTTTTGGTATTTAGCCTCTTTGTCTTCAAAAAGAGATGTAAAAAATACAGGTAGTCCTAGAGTAGAATAGAGCTGGAAGGGACCTTGGAGGCCTTCTAGTCCAGCCCCCTGCTCGAGTAGGAGAACCTATACCATCTCAGACAGGTGATTGTCTAGTCTCCTCTTTAAAATCTCCAGTGTTGGAGCACCCACAACTTCTGGAGGCAAGCTGTTCCACTGGTTAATTGTCCTCCCTGTCAGGAAGTTTCTCCTTAATTCCAGGTTGCTTCTCTCCTTGATCAGTTTCCAACCATTGTTTCTCATCCTTCCCTCTGGTGCTCTGGTGAATAATGTGACCCCCTCTTCCTTCTCACAGCCCCTCAGATACTGCAATGCTGCTGTCATGTCTTTGACTTAACAACCACAATTGAGCCTAACAGTTGTTGAGTGAATTTTGCCCCATTTTATGACCTTGCCACAGTTGTTAAATGAATCGCCGCAGGTGTTAAAGTTAGTAACACAGCTGTTAAGTGAATCGGACTCCCCCGTTGACTTTGCTTGTCAGAAGGTCACAAAAAGGAGAGCACATGATCCCAGGATACGGCAACAGTCATAAATATGAATCAGTTGCCAAGTGTCTGAATTTTGATCAAGTGACCCCGGGGAGGCTGCAAACAGTGGTAACCGAAAAACAGTCATAAGTCGCTTTTTTTCCCTGCCATTGTAACTTTGAACGGTTGCTAAACGGACTTGTAAGTCGAGGACTTCCTGTAAGGGATTTCACTTAACATTTGGGGAGCAGGGCAAAGGATTTCTTGAGCACTGAAATGATTTGATATTAGTAGGGGGTCTCTTATGCAAAACTGAAGGCCACTTTTTTCTGGCTTGGGGGAAAAAAAGAGATTGGAGGTGATGTTATAGTCAATTAAAACTTTTTTAGCACTGCAGTTATTATATGTTTCCATCTAAAGGGGCAGGAAATTGATGGTGTGTAGTAGTTACAGTTGGAGAGAACTTCAGGAGGAGAAAACAAAAAGAAATTTCAGACTGCAGGTTGCACTCCCTGCTTCACCTACTCCTGGCCTAAGCCTAAAAGAATCAGGGTTAAGTAGGATAAATGATTGTCGGTTAGATGAACAAAGAGACTGTTCCCTATCTATGATCTCGAATAAATATTTGGATCCGTTATTCAAATCTGCACCACTGGTGTGTTTTTTCTTCCCCCTCCTTCATCTCTAGCTAAATATGTGGATTCAAAACTTCGGGCGGGCAACAAAGAAGCCACTGATGAAGAGCTTGAAAAAATGCTGGATAAAATAATGATCATCTTTAGATTCATCTACGGTAAGAGCTGGGCTTTGTTTGTAATATTGATATAGCCATTGCTTGATTGAGGTGTGGCATACAACATTGTACATATTCATGTCTTACCCGTAAATGATTTTTTGTTTTTTAGTTTTAATCATAACATAACATCTGCCAACAACCGCTTTAAACTTCATGTAAACCGCTTTAAACCTGATTGTAATGATTTTTGTACGAGTTGTCAAAGTCTGGGATATCTTAACCGATTCAATTCTCTCAGCTACTAACTTTCACCGTGTTAATTCCAACTGAACTTCTGTGGACCTCATCCCATATTTTAAGAGGCTTCTAAGGGGACCTGCATAAGTGCACTAACTTGCCTATCATCCCCATCCCATTTTTGGTTTTTTTCAAGTTTGTTCGTTCATATTTGTAATTTTCACTGGACAAATTAAAAATAGAATAAAAAATAGCTAGTAAGTCCACCCTTCCCCATTTCTGAAAACAAATTGGGTTGGGGAAATGCAAATTGGTGATGCCCAGAAAAAAAAGAAAAATCCAAAACCAACAAGTTGCTGATGCCTAGAGGTCTATTACATGATAGCTTTAGACCAGGGGTGTCCAGCATTGGCTACTTTAAGACCTGTGAACTTCAACTCCTGGAATTCTGGGAGTTGAAGTTCCTAAGTCTTAAAATTGCCAAGGTTGGATATATCTGCTTTAAACATGGGTCTAAACCAAGGGTGGAGAACCATGGCATTTTTATGACTTGTGGGCTTCAAGTTGAAGTCCACAAACCATAAAAGGGTTTAAAAGAGCCCCCACCCTCTGGAACGAACTACCCCCAGAGATCCGGGTGATTCCGGATCTCCCCTCCTTCCGCCGCGCCCTCAAGACATGGCTATTTCAGCTGGCAGGACTGGCCTAAGGGGTATTTTAAATTTGGTTTTTAAATAACTTTTAAAAAAGGAAGAAAAGGCCCATATTAATATTTCTTTTTAACTACATTTTAA